TGCTGGAAGCTCCGTGCTGGAAGCTCCCTGCTGGAAGCTCCCTGCTGGAAGCTCCCTGCTGGAAGCTCCCTGCTGGAAGCTCCCTGCTGGAAGCTCCCTGCTGGAAGCTCCCTGCTGGAAGCTCCCTGCTGGAAGCTCCCTGCTGGAAGCTCCCTGCTGGAAGCTCCCTGCTGGAAGCTCCCTGCTGGAAGCTCCCTGCTGGAAGCTCCCTGCTGGAAGATCCCTGCTGGAAGCTCCGTGCTGGAAGCTCCCTGCTGGAAGCTCCGTGCTGGAAGCTCCGTGCTGGAAGCTCCCTGCTGGAAGCTCCCTGCTGGAAGCTCCGTGCTGAAAGCTCCCTGCTGGAAGCTCCCTGCTGGAAGCTCCCTGCTGGAAGCTCCCTGCTGGAAGCTCCCTGCTGGAAGCTCCCTGCTGGAAGCTCCCTGCTGGAAGCTCCCTGCTGGAAGCTCCCTGCTGGAAGCTCCCTGCTGGAAGCTCCCTGCTGGAAGCTCCCTGCTGGAAGCTCCCTGCTGGAAGCTCCCTGCTGGAAGATCCCTGCTGGAAGCTCCCTGCTGGAAGCTCCCTGCTGGAAGCTCCGTGCTGGAAGCTCCGTGCTGGAAGCTCCCTGCTGGAAGCTCCCTGCTGGAAGCTCCCTGCTGGAAGCTCCCTGCTGGAAGCTCCCTGCTGGAAGCTCCCTGCTGGAAGCTCCCTGCTGGAAGCTCCCTGCTGGAAGCTCCCTGCTGGAAGCTCCCTGCTGGAAGCTCCGTGCTGGAAGCTCCCTGCTGGAAGCTCCCTGCTGGAAGCTCCCTGCTGGAAGCTCCCTGCTGGAAGCTCCCTGCTGGAAGCTCCCTGCTGGAAGCTCCCTGCTGGAAGCTCCCTGCTGGAAGCTCCCTGCTGGAAGCTCCCTGCTGGAAGCTCCCTGCTGGAAGCTCCCTGCTGGAAGCTCCGTGCTGGAAGCTCCCTGCTGGAAGCTCCGTGCTGGAAGCTCCCTGCTGGAAGCTCCCTGCTGGAAGCTCCCTGCTGGAAGCTCCCTGCTGGAAGCTCCCTGCTGGAAGCTCCCTGCTGGAAGCTCCCTGCTGGAAGCTCCCTGCTGGAAGCTCCCTGCTGGAAGCTCCCTGCTGGAAGCTCCCTGCTGGAAGCTCCCTGCTGGAAGCTCCCTGCTGGAAGATCCCTGCTGGAAGCTCCCTGCTGGAAGCTCCCTGCTGGAAGCTCCGTGCTGGAAGCTCCGTGCTGGAAGCTCCCTGCTGGAAGCTCCCTGCTGGAAGCTCCGTGCTGAAGCTCCCTGCTGGAAGCTCCCTGCTGGAAGCTCCCTGCTGGAAGCTCCCTGCTGGAAGCTCCCTGCTGGAAGCTCCCTGCTGGAAGCTCCCTGCTGGAAGCTCCCTGCTGGAAGCTCCCTGCTGGAAGCTCCCTGCTGGAAGCTCCCTGCTGGAAGATCCCTGCTGGAAGCTCCCTGCTGGAAGCTCCCTGCTGGAAGCTCCGTGCTGGAAGCTCCGTGCTGGAAGCTCCCTGCTGGAAGCTCCCTGCTGGAAGCTCCCTGCTGGAAGCTCCCTGCTGGAAGCTCCCTGCTGGAAGCTCCCTGCTGGAAGCTCCCTGCTGGAAGCTCCCTGCTGGAAGCTCCCTGCTGGAAGCTCCCTGCTGGAAGCTCCCTGCTGGAAGCTCCGTGCTGGAAGCTCCCTGCTGGAAGCTCCGTGCTGGAAGCTCCCTGCTGGAAGCTCCCTGCTGGAAGCTCCCTGCTGGAAGCTCCCTGCTGGAAGCTCCCTGCTGGAAGCTCCCTGCTGGAAGCTCCCTGCTGGAAGCTCCCTGCTGGAAGCTCCCTGCTGGAAGCTCCCTGCTGGAAGCTCCCTGCTGGAAGCTCCCTGCTGGAAGCTCCCTGCTGGAAGCTCCGTGCTGGAAGCTCCCTGCTGGAAGCTCCCTGCTGGAAGCTCCCTGCTGGAAGCTCCCTGCTGGAAGCTCCCTGCTGGAAGCTCCCTGCTGGAAGCTCCCTGCTGGAAGCTCCCTGCTGGAAGCTCCCTGCTGGAAGCTCCCTGCTGGAAGCTCCCTGCTGGAAGCTCCCTGCTGGAAGCTCCCTGCTGGAAGCTCCCTGCTGGAAGCTCCCTGCTGGAAGCTCCCTGCTGGAAGCTCCCTGCTGGAAGCTCCGTGCTGGAAGCTCCGTGCTGGAAGCTCCCTGCTGGAAGCTCCCTGCTGGAAGCTCCCTGCTGGAAGCTCCCTGCTGGAAGCTCCCTGCTGGAAGCTCCCTGCTGGAAGCTCCCTGCTGGAAGCTCCCTGCTGGAAGCTCCCTGCTGGAAGCTCCCTGCTGGAAGCTCCGTGCTGGAAGCTCCCTGCTGGAAGCTCCGTGCTGGAAGCTCCCTGCTGGAAGCTCCCTGCTGGAAGCTCCCTGCTGGAAGCTCCGTGCTGGAAGCTCCCTGCTGGAAGCTCCCTGCTGGAAGCTCCCTGCTGGAAGCTCCCTGCTGGAAGCTCCCTGCTGGAAGCTCCCTGCTGGAAGCTCCCTGCTGGAAGCTCCCTGCTGGAAGCTCCCTGCTGGAAGCTCCCTGCTGGAAGCTCCCTGCTGGAAGCTCCCTGCTGGAAGCTCCCTGCTGGAAGCTCCCTGCTGGAAGCTCCCTGCTGGAAGCTCCCTGCTGGAAGCTCCGTGCTGGAAGCTCCCTGCTGGAAGCTCCCTGCTGGAAGCTCCCTGCTGGAAGCTCCCTGCTGGAAGCTCCCTGCTGGAAGCTCCCTGCTGGAAGCTCCCTGCTGGAAGCTCCCTGCTGGAAGCTCCCTGCTGGAAGCTCCCTGCTGGAAGCTCCGTGCTGGAAGCTCCCTGCTGGAAGCTCCGTGCTGGAAGCTCCCTGCTGGAAGCTCCCTGCTGGAAGCTCCCTGCTGGAAGCTCCGTGCTGGAAGCTCCGTGCTGGAAGCTCCCTGCTGGAAGCTCCCTGCTGGAAGCTCCCTGCTGGAAGCTCCCTGCTGGAAGCTCCCTGCTGGAAGCTCCGTGCTGGAAGCTCCCTGCTGGAAGCTCCCTGCTGGAAGCTCCCTGCTGGAAGCTCCCTGCTGGAAGCTCCCTGCTGCAAGCTCCCTGCTGGAAGCTCCCTGCTGCAAGCTCCCTGCTGGAAGCTCCCTGCTGGAAGCTCCCTGCTGGAAGCTCCCTGCTGGAAGCTCCCTGCTGGAAGCTCCCTGCTGGAAGCTCCCTGCTGGAAGCTCCCTGCTGGAAGCTCCCTGCTGGAAGCTCCCTGCTGGAAGCTCCCTGCTGGAAGCTCCGTGCTGGAAGCTCCCTGCTCGAAGCTCCCTGGTGGAAGCTCCCTGCTGGAAGCTCTGTGCTGGAAGCTCCGTGCTGGAAGCTCCCTGCTGGAAGCTCCCTGCTGGAAGCTCCCTGCTGGAAGCTCCCTGCTGGAAGCTCCCTGCTGCAAGCTCCCTGCTGGAAGCTCCCTGCTGCAAGCTCCCTGCTGGAAGCTCCCTGCTGGAAGCTCCCTGCTGGAAGCTCCCTGCTGGAAGCTCCCTGCTGGAAGCTCCCTGCTGGAAGCTCCCTGCTGGAAGCTCCCTGCTGGAAGCTCCCTGCTGGAAGCTCCCTGCTGGAAGCTCCCTGCTGGAAGCTCCGTGCTGGAAGCTCCCTGCTCGAAGCTCCCTGGTGGAAGCTCCCTGCTGGAAGCTCTGTGCTGGAAGCTCCGTGCTGGAAGCTCCCTGCTGGGAGCTCCCTGCTGGAAGCTCCCTGCTGGAAGCTCCCTGCTGGAAGCTCCGTGCTGGAAGCTCCGTGCTGGAAGCTCCCTGCTGGAAGCTCCCTGCTGGAAGCTCCCTGCTGGAAGCTCCCTGCTGGAAGCTCCCTGCTGGAAGCTCCCTGCTGGAAGCTCCCTGCTGGAAGCTACCTGCTGGAAGCTCCCTGCTGGAAGCTCCCTGCTGGAAGCTCCCTGCTGGAAGCTCCCTGCTGCAAGCTCCCTACTGGAAGCTCCCTGCTGGAAGCTCCCTGCTGGAAGCTCCCTGCTGGAAGCTACCTGCTGGAAGCTCCCTGCTGGAAGCTCCCTGCTGGAAGCTCCCTGCTGGAAGCTCCCTGCTGGAAGCTCCCTGCTGCAAGCTCCCTGCTGGAAGCTCCCTGCTGCAAGCTCCCTGCTGGAAGCTCCCTGCTGGAAGCTCCCTGCTGGAAGCTCCCTGCTGGAAGCTCCCTGCTGGAAGCTCCCTGCTGGAAGCTCCGTGCTGGAAGCTCCGTGCTGGAAGCTCCGTGCTGGAAGCTCCGTGCTGGAAGATCCGTGCTGGAAGCTCCCTGCTGGAAGCTCCCTGCTGGAAGCTCCCTGCTGGAAGCTCCCTGCTGGAAGCTCCCTGCTGGAAGCTCCCTGCTGGAAGCTCCGTGCTGGAAGCTCCCTGCTGGAAGCTCCCTGCTGGAAGCTCCCTGCTGGAAGCTCCCTGCTGGAAGCTCCCTGCTGGAAGCTCCCTGCTGGAAGCTCCCTGCTGGAAGCTCCCTGCTGGAAGCTCCCTGCTGGAAGCTCCCTGCTGGAAGCTCCCTGCTGGAAGCTCCCTGCTGGAAGCTCCCTGCTGGAAGCTCTTACAAAGAAGGATTGTTCCAGTGTGGGCATTGGGCTGGCCTGGAACAATCCAATCCAAACAGCTGGGATCTCAGCCATTTATGTTGCCCCTCTAGGAAGCCATACATGTTGCACACCCCTCCTTACCTGCAATCGGCAGAGCAGCAGCCCATCGCACACGCTTCACCCCACAGTCTTGAACCTCGTAAACCTCTCACCTCTAAAGAGCCGCACATGTTGCACCCTTCGCCTTCCTGTGCCTTGGTGGTCTCGGTGAAGCCCTCCTTCTAGCCAGGGACCAGTGGCAACTCAGCACAATTTTGTAAGCCCAAAGCCCTGAACCCCTCACCTCCAGGAACCCGTACATGTTGCACCCCTCGCCTTCCTGTAGGCTGCAGCAGCCCATCACACTCCCCTGAGCCCAACCAAACCCCTGAACCCCTCACCTCCAGGAACCCGTACATGTTGCACCCCTCGCCTTCTTGTAGGCTGCAGCAGCCCATCACACTCCCCTGAGCCCAACCAAACCCCTGAACCCCTCACCTCCAGGAACCCGTACATGTTGCACCCCTCGCCTTCCTGCGCCTTGATGGTCTCGGTAAAGCCTTCCTTCTTGCACTGTGGATCAACAAGCATGGCAAGCGCGGGTCAACACATGCATGGGCGACAAGACAGGAATTGAGAGAGCAAATGAGACACGGAGGCTGCATGCATGGCCGCTTTCTCCCTGCGCCTTAATAGTCTCGGTAAAGCCTTCCTTCTTGCACTGTGGATCAACAAGCACGGCCGACAACAAGACAGGGGAAACGCATGGGTGAGTGAGTGGGCTCTTTCTCTCCCATGGTGATTCAGGTTGACTCAAGAATCACCTGGAATCGAGGCATGGGCGAGGGGTGCAAATGACTGCGCCTGTCTGTACCTGCTCGATGGAGTCTGGGTTGGTGAACGCCCACCCCCACATCACATCCGCACGCCCTTGCACCTCACACACACTCCCCAGGAGAAGAAATAGACACTCACTGACCGCCTGTCTGTACCTGCTCGATGGAGTCTGGGTTGGTGAACGCCCACCCTCTCTTACGATACGCTTCCCTCACTTCGTCGCAAGTGTTGCAGCAGTCGTGCTCGTGCTGTGAGGGGGGAAAAAGGGGGGGGGAGGGAGTGGGGTTAAGATGTTGTTGAGACAGAAGGGATAGAGGAGACTTCCCTCACTTCGTCACACGTGTTGCAGCAGTCGTGCTCATGCTGGGAGGGGGGAAGGGGGGGGATGACGGGGAGCGGGAGTGGAAGGGGGAGGGAGAGGAGAGGAGAAGAGGGGTTGACATATTGGTGAGTGAGGCGAAACGGAGAAGGAACTCCTCCCTCACTTAGACACACGTGTTGCAGCAATCGTGCTTGTACTGTGAGGGGAAGGGGGAAGCAACGAGGGGGGGAAAGAGGGGAAGAAACGGTGGGGCGGACGAAAGGTTAGGTTAGGAGAGAGGGGTGGAGAAAGGATGAGGAGGGGGGGGGGGGGTGAGAAAAAAATGGAGAGGACGAGCTCATACAATCCGTCACAAGTGACAACTTTTGAGGAGCCTCTTTTGAGGCGCCTCAAAATGCTCTCATACAATTCGTCACAAGTGACAACTTTGAGGAGCCTCTTTTGAGGCCTCAAGAGCAAGACGAGGCCTCAAAAGTTGCCTCAAGAGCAAGACGAGCTTGTACAATCCGTCACCTTGCAGCATTCGTGCTCGTGCTGTGAGGGAAGAGGGAGGAGCAGCAGGAGTGGAGAAGAGGGGGAAAAGGAAGAAAGGAGAGAGGGGAAGGAAGGGAATGGGGAGAGGGGTCAACATGTTGGTGAGACGAGTCGGAGGACGACCTCATACAATCGGTCACAGGTGCTGCAGCAACTGTGCTTATGCAAGGACAAGACGGCAAACTCAGCCCCTCAGCACCGCACTGACCTCCTCAGCACCGTAGCAGCTCGCACACAGGTTCTCGTCCTTCTCGTCCACCTCGTTGCCGTGCTTGTCCTTCAGCTTCACCGGCTCATGCTTCTCCTCCCCCACCTCCCTCACTACTCACCCCCTGCACTTAACTCCTGACGACTGCAATGCAACTCCTCAGCACCACAGTCAATCCCTAAGAACCGCACTCACCTCCTCAGCACCGTAGCAGCTCGCACACAGGTTCTCGTGCTTCTCGTCCACCTCGTTGCCGTGCTTGTCCTTCAGCTTCACCGGCTCATGCTTCGCCCCCACCTCGTGCTTCGTCCCCTGTGACTCTATCGGCCGCCCATTCTTGTCCAGCCGCCGCTTGTACACGTTATGGACCTAGATTGGGGGAGTGGTTAAGATGAGGGAAGAAGTAGAGTCAGGATGGGCATCTGTATCCGCTCATGCCTCTAAGTCTGCCTTCTCTCGCCCCCACCTCGTGCTTCGTCCCCACCTCGTGCTTCGCCCCCACCTCGTGCTTCGTCCCCTGTGACTCTATGGGGCGCCCGCTCTTGCCCAGCCGCCGCTTGTACACGTTGTGTACCTGAGAGGGTGGGTGGGGGGAAACATGAGGACAGGGAGTAACGAACATCATTCATCTGCCTCTCATGCGTCTCCCCCATCTCGTGCTTCGCCCCCCTGTGTGACTCTATGGGCCGTCCATTCTTGCCCAGCCGCCGCTTGTACACATTGTGCACCTGAAAGAGTGGGGTTGTGAATAGGGCGCACAGAAGACATCTGTATCCGCCAACGCTTCTGTCTGTCAGTCTGTCTGTCTTTCCCCCACCTCGTGCTGCATGCCTTGTGACTCTATGACCCGCTGGCATAGATTGGGATTGTAAAAAGGCTGAAAGGGGGGTTGTGAGGGTGGGAGAAGACACAGGATGAAAAGATAATCCAGGCAAACTCTGTGTCTTCTAGATGGGGCGCCCCATTGAGTCACAAGATGAGCCCTGTGTCTTCCAGATGGGGCTGCCTCTGGCTTGTGACTTAGAGCGCGGTTCTGAAAGTTCGCCCGCCATCAAAGTCTGGACAAGTTTTCACGTCAATACACGTCACTGTGATTTGGCAGCCCACCGACACGAATCTGGACCACAATGTACCACTCTCACGAATTTACTGCACGAACTGGCGATGGCTGTAACCCCTCTGGCGAGAAATGTGCATGTGTTTCACAGGTTCGCACACATCCGGAAACATTCACGATTGGATGTTAGGGTCGTAGGCACAGTTGCAAGCCCTAGACTGTGCGATCGTTGGAAAATCTCAGGGCACGAGTGTCTGTGTGTAGTGAGGGTGTTTTTGAGACGTCTCAAAAACACCCTCACTTCACGTGGCAAATCTCAGGGCACGAGTGCCTGTTTTTTGAGAATTCTCAAAACACACACGAGTGTGTGTGTGTGTACAGCGTGTCTTTACACGTCGACCCTGGCCATTTTGTGCCGGATGGCGGGCGGACAAGTCTGGAACCGTGCTCTTAATGGGGCGCCCGTCCTTGCCCAACCAGCCGCCGCTTGTGCACGCACGTTATGTACCTTGCCTTGCGTTGGTGGCGTGGCATGTGTTGTGACTCTACTGGCACTCATACAGCCCAGGATGAGAGTGGCATGCGTCAGTCAAAGAACCATTTGTGACAGTAACTAACTTGCACTGTATGTATAATGATGATCACTTTACACGTCCAGGTGCTGGTCCCCTCCCCGCTGATGCCCATGGCATGGCGTCTAGTCTGAGAATGACAGGAAGCCCATCTTCGAGTCATTGTGAAAATAACGAGGCCTACATGCACCGTGCTCACCACGTGGTGACTTTTGAGTCGACTCAAAAGTCACCCCATCTACGAGTCATTGTGAAAATAACGAGGCCTACATGCACTGTGGTCACCACGTCCAGGTGCTGGTCCCCTCCCCACTGATGCCCATGGCATGGCGTGTAGACCAACAACAGCAAGTCAATCAAGGAGGCATTTGCGACAATAACGAGGCCCATACAACGCCCACTCACCACGGCGTCGAGATGCTGGCCGGTCTCCGCTGATAGGATAGCCATTTTTGTGTATAGGCTGAGAATGGCATGCATTATTATAAGAGACTAGTGTGGCAAAAAAACCCAATCACCACGTTGATGTGCTGGTCCCTGCTGATATCCATGGTGTCTAGGCTGCGAATGGCAGCTGAAGTACACATAAACTGCTATTTGTGACAACCACGGGGGTTCGAAGAAGCTCACCACGTCCAGGTGCTGGTCCCCGCTGATATCCATGGCGTCTAGACTGAGAACTGCATTATATTATCTACGAGCCATTTGTGATGTGACAATAACGAGTGCTATCTAATGCCCATTGCTCACCACGTCGAGGTGCTGGTCCCCACTGATATCCATGGCGTCTAGACTGAGAATGGCACAGCCAAGGTGCGGGAAGGTCACGTCCAGCTGATGCGCGCGGAGGGGGCGTGGGGTGGGGGTGGGGAGGGGGAGGGGGAGCGGGGGCTTTTCATGTTTTGAGGCGTTTTAGACCTGAGAATGGCACAGCCAAGGTGCGGGAAGGTCACGTCCAGCTGATGCGCAAAGAGGGAACGGGGGATGGGGTTGTGGGGTGGGGGGGAAGGGGGGGGAGAGGATGGACTTTTGATGCGCCAGGCGCCTTCACAAGGAGAGCGAGAATGGCGCAGCCAAGGTGTGGGAAGGTGAAAACCAGCTGATGTGGAAGCAGGGCATGGGGGATAGGATGGAGACGAGCAGACATAGTGGGAGGTTGAGGGAGTGAAGGAAATTGGAGGGTGATAAGAGGAGATGGAAGAGAGTGAGGAAGGATATTGAAGCGCTGAAAATTGGGAGGAAAGGGAGAGAACGAACGGCAAGCCAAAAGGGAGTCGAAGGAACGCACGGGGGCAGTAAACGTATGCAAAGAGGGGAAAAAAAAACCAGGAATGGGGACTACCCGAGAAAGGACGGCAAATGAAGAAAGGGCGAGGGAATGAAAGGGCAAGGGGCGAACACATGGCGAATGGACGTCGGGCTTGTTAGCACTTAGTACGCAACTCACATTAATGCGCATGGTTTCGCCCCTTGACATGTCCACTGACAGCTCGTTCGCCACTGATGGCTTCAGATAGATCTCTGCTCCAATGGGGGAGGGAAGGGAAAGGGGGAGAATCAGGGTTAGCTGTGAGGTGTCTGGCCTCATCGTCTCGTGGTTTCGCCCCACCCCTTGACATGCCCACTGACTGACGGCTCTTCGCCACCGATGGCTGCAGAAAGGTCTCTGCACGAAGGGGATAAGAGGGCGGAGCCACGTAAGAGGACCAGGGATAGGTGTAAAATTCTGGCCTCACTGTCGCATGGTTTCGCCCTTGACATGTCCACTGACAGCTCGTTCGCCACTGATGGCTGCAGAAAGGTCTGCTTGAAGGGGGACAGAGGCAGAACCGCAGAGGGGAAGCAGGGTTAGCTGAGAGGTCACTGGCTTCATCATGTCATGGTATCGAGGTGACTTTTGAGTCGACTCAAAAGTCACCTAGCTGTGAGGACTCTGGCTTCATCATGTCATGGTATCGCCCCTTGACATGCCCACTGACAGCTCGGTTGCCACTGATGGCCGCAGACAGATCTCTGCACAAAAGGGCAAGGGGCGGAGCCACGGAGGCCAAGTTTTGAGGCGCCTCAAAACCAGAAGGGGGGAAGAGGCGGAGCCACGGAGGAGAGACGCGGTTCAGTGTGAGTGAGTGGCTGGCTGGCCTCATCGTCTCATGGTGTCGCCCCTCCCCTTGACATGTCCACTGGCTGACAGCTCAGCTCGTCGCCACTGACGGCTTCAGACACATCTCTGCAGAATGGGAAGCAGGGAGGAGGAAGAGGCGGAGCCACGGAGGGGAAACAGGGTGAGATGTGGGTCTCCGGCCTTAGTTGGAATATACGCTCAAACCTGTTTGCGTTTAACGTATACACGCTAGCGTGTATACGCAAAACGCTAAACGCTATCGAATACGCTATACGCTCGCCAATTTTTTTTTGGGGCAGCCCGGCCAGAAAATTTCAACCTACACGGTTCGCTTCGGAATTGCACGACGAAGACATTGGCGGGGTCAGATGGCACATCCGCGCTGTGTGCTAGCGTGGACGTGGGTTGAAAGTTCGTGTCGCAAATGGAAAGTCACGTTCGTCTAGTCGCGCCTGCACGTTCCCTCAAATTTTGGTGTTCACTATCAGTACCGCATTCAAACCCTTCGCAACCAACACCTCTCCAATTTTTGTTGGCCATCTTCCCACTCCCACAATCAACTCGCCATAAAACAAGCACACCCCCAACATCCAACTCATTAGGTCTTCTCTCGCTACCAGCAGAGCACTAGGCATTCCCTAGCGCATGGTTCCTATGTCGGCGACTACTACCTCTCCTCTAACGCCACAGTTAGTTAACACCGTTGGCAGTTCGCAAACTCTTCTAACCGAGGCACGGGAGTATCTCCCCGACGTTGACCATGCCGTCTTCAAGCACTTCCGCATCATCAAGAGGGTCGAGGGAAAAGCTCAGCAGTACGAGTGCAAGTTCTGCAGCAACGTCTACACTGGTGCTGCCATCCGATGCGCGCAACACTTCACGTCGTGGAAGGGGATGAAACGCCGTGAAGTGGTGCTTTGCAAGGATGCGCCACAAGGTGTGCGCTTGGCCATGCGCGCGAAATACGAGGCAAAGGCTGCTGCGGCCGAAGAGAAGAGGCGGGCAGCAGCTGAAGCGGTTGCCGCGGTCAAGGCTAATGGTGTGAAGCGGGCGCGCATCACCGATTACCTTGATGGAGATGCGGCCGCAAGAAAGAGAGAAGCGGACGAGGCACTTGCGCTTGCTTGGGCCGCCCTCCATATCCCCGAGCACCACATTGACCATCCTCTGATGGTCAATGCATTGAACCTCGTCAAGCGCGCCGGCGTCGACTACGTCCCTCCCAAGAGGAAATACATCAGCGGTGCTGGCCTTCTCTCGTGTCGCAACGGAATCGAGCAGGGTTTGGTGGGCATTAAGGCGAGCTGGAAGAGGACGGGCGTGACGGTTTCGTCCGACATGATGACGGACCGCAACAGCAGGCCGCAGGCCAATGTGCTTCTCGTAAACGATTCCGGCGCCGTCTTCACCGACTGTATTGACTGCAACATGGAGAGGAAAACCGGAGGTTACGTGGCGGGAATTCTTAGGCCCGTGGTGGAGGAAGTGGGTCCAGAAAACGTTGTTGCGTTCTGCATGGACGGGGGGTCGAACTATGCGGAGGCGGTGAAGCAGCTCTTACAGGAGTGGCCGCACATTCAGGATGTGCCGTGCGCCACTCACGTATTGGATCTTCTCATGGAAGATGTCGGGAAGATGGGATGGGCTAAGCCGGTGGTCGACAAGGGAGGGGAGATATCTAGCTTCGTCCGCAACCACCACTGGACCCGAGGGTACCTGCGGAAGCCGGAATTGGTGGAGGGGAAGGTTCTGCAGGCGCTGAAGCCGGCTGGAACCCGATTCGGGACCAACTACATAGCCATATCCCGGCTATGTGCGATGCGCGGCAGCCTTACCAACATGGTGACGAGCGAGGGTTGGAAGGAGTGGGCGGTAGGGGACCGGAAGAAATCGTGTGACGGGTTCAGTGCGCTGATCCATGATGCCGCCTGGTGGAAGACGGCCGAGTTCTTCGTCGCACTGCTGAAGCTGCCCTTTAAGGTGATGAGGCAGACGGACGGGCATGCCGTGGGGATGATGGGGAGGCTGTACGATTTGATGCTGCAGTTGACTGAGGACGTGGGGGGCTTGCTCGATGCGGACGAGGAGCAGCTGAGCGACGGGGACAAGGACAAGATCCGCCGCATCCTCAGAGACCGCGGGGACGGCAGCCTCGCATGCGCCATGCATGTCGCTGGCCGCATCCTCAACCCCGCGAATCAGGAGGAAGATATTTTCGGCACTGATCCCGAGTGCACGAAAGTCTTCAAGGCGTTCATCAGCCAGCAGGCCGAGTTACTTGCGAGCCGCGGGGATGGGGGGGATGACGCGTGCGACATCTTGCTTGAGCTGGGGGACGGGCTGAGGGCGTTCCTTGACATGAAGGGTTCTTTTGGGATGCCGGAAGCCGTGGCACAGAAGAAGCTGGTGAAAGAGGGAAAGTATAGCATGGTGAAGTGGTGGCAGTGGAATGGGACTGATGCCCCTCGAGTGGCGGGGCTCGCGGTACGGGTTCTGTCTCAGGCCGTGTCAGCCTCACCTTGTGAGCGTGGATGGTCCTCGTGGGATGCCGTCCACACCGCACGTCGCAACAGGCTCGGATCCGCCAAGTGCAGGGACTTGGTCTATGTTGCGCACAACTGGAATGTTGTGCGCAACTGGCACACGCGCGTTGATGTCTTGCCACATGTGGTGCCCGGGATTGGAGCGGAGCCTCCAATCCCGGCGGGATACAATGGGCTGGAAGACGAGACAAAGGGAGGGGATGAGGAGGAAGGCGAAGACGACATCCTCGAAGACGAGTACGCTAACTAGAGGGGGCAAATGTGGCTTGCTGTGGGCGGCTAGTCCTAAGGAGTAGTAGTACGTAGCGTGTCTTAGAGAGAAGTGATGGTCGTGATGGAGTAGTGATGATAGTAGTGATGGTAAGTGATGATGGTAAGCGATGATAGTAGTGATGATAGTGATATTAGTAGTGATGACAGTAGTTATGTGTAGGCCGTGGTATATGTGTAATGTGGAAAAAAAAATCTCTGAAAATTCAGGCCCCATACCCCACCCCCATACCCCCCCCCCCCCCCCCCCCCGGGCCTTTTTTTGACCCTGCCCGGGAAGTTTTTTTTCTGCCCGAAAAAGCGTATTTCCAAACCCGTCCCTACAGCGTATAGCGTATATAAGAGTGCGTATATTCCAACTAAGTCTCCGGCCTCATCATCGTCTCATGGTTTTGCCCCTCCCCTTGACATGCCCACTGACTGACAGCTCGTCGCCACTGATGGCTTCAGGCGATCCCTGCAGAATGGGGAGGACTGATGGGAGGGGGAACAGAGCTGGTCGTGACAATGGAAGGGCCGACGTCTTACAGTCTCATCTCATCACGTCCCCAATCCCTTGCCTTCCATGGCACTGACCGCTCGTTCGCCACTGATGGCCGCAGGCAAATCTCTGCTTGAAAGGGAAGAAAGGGGGGCGGAAGAATCAGGGCTGGTCGTGACAATGGAAGGGCCGACATCTCCCAGTCTCATCTCATCGCGTCCCCAGTGCCTTCCATGCCACTGACTGACAGCGCGTTCGCCACTGATGGCCGCAGAACAGGATGGGGGAATGGTGGCGCAAACCGGGTCGGGGAAATGGTGGCGCAAACCGGGTCGGGGGAATGGTGGCGCAAAACGGGTCGGGGGAATGGCCACGCAAAACAGGATAGGGGAAGGGCGGCGTAAAAGAGGACGGGGGAAGGGCGAAGTCGCAGCGCATGGCGCAGCGGCCGCAGGGCAATGGGTCGAAAGATGAAAGATTTGGAGGAATGTCAGCCGTGGATCTCTGCGAAAGGATGATATATGAACAATGGGAGGGGAAAACCGTCGGCTGCGATCGTCTGCGCGTCAGACAGCGGATCGAGAGGAGGGGTGACCGTCGTTACGTACGGAGTTCGGTAACGAAGAGCAGCGTCATGATGACAGATGAAACGAGGGTAATGATACCCCCGGACAGCGTACGGCTGTAGAAATCCTCGTTGATCTTCGGATACGCGTCCAGCAGCTTTAATTTGTTCAATACCTCCATTTCGTACGCGATAGTATACCCCCCTCTGGCCTGATACCGGTTAGATACTAGCTGACTATTGGATACAAGCTGACGATTTGATGCTAACTGAAGACTTGATGATACCGCACAGATGATGGACAAGATTAGACGGCAGTGACGGGGTATTGAATGCGACCAGATTAACCCTGGTCCAGCTGAATGGCGAAACTAGCGCCGGTTGCGGCACGATCAGCCTGGCTAATTAAACAACACAGCTATTCGAGCTAAAGAATAGAAAAATGCCAAGGTAATGAGCTCCGCAATCTGACTAATTTAGGAGCTCCGATCTCAGTAGTAGGCGTTCTCAGCATCTACGGAAATGCTGAGACGCTACTACGTAGGAAACTAGGAACAAATTTGATCAGTCTGCTACTGGTTGGCGGGAAACTATCCCATCTTGCCACTTCTGTGCTTTCGAATCACTGCCCTATAACGCGTAATTCATTCGACGAAACGATGCGGTAACAAGAACCTCGTGTATTTCGTACGACTGCCTCGTAACTCCCCCCAATCGTTCCCTGAAATGTTGGTGTTCGCGTTCCACCTTGATTTGGATGTCGCAAGATGTGCGACGATACTTGCGAAAATATATCTGAACTCGCGACTGCGAATTTCTCGATTCTAGAGCATTCCAACCGAACAAGCACACACTGACCTCCATAGGGCCCACACAAAACAGGATCCAAAACGAACTGAAAATGAATTGAGGGACGAACCTGAGAGCCAATATGTAATTTCGCAAGTACTGTACACACGTAAGCTTCCCAATCAATATTTCTAGTCATGAAACGACACCAGTCTTGTGATGCAAACACGTACTATCCCCCTCAGTTTCTGGACAACTGATGTATAGACGCTCATTGTACTATTCCACTAAGGCCGCATCGCCCCACCCTGATTCACCCCTACGATACTACCTGCGCGAACAGCGGCGCAGTTCCCTCGTTGCACGCGTGCCATCTCCATCCCGTCCTCTGCTCTTCTTCCCTCGGCAGATTCCGCTCCTCTTCCTGTTTCCTCCACGCGCGACTCTTGCAAAATCGCCGAATCGCGACCAATCATTCGCCAATCGTCGCCGAACGTCGCCACCGCGCAGCACGCACTGCGTATATTCAACGCGGCTCTGCTGCCGGAGTCGCATCGACAGCCGTGGAAACACGGATGTCCGCGAAACCCTAAACAGAGGTACGCCAGTCACCTGTCATTTTGACTCGTGCCGCAGTCAATACATGCGCCCCCCTATCGTTTCCCTCGTCTATGCCGTCCGCACTGCAAGGCTCACAGCCAAATAGGGGGGGTGTGAGCCTTGCAGTGTGTCTTAGTAGTACACGTCACGCGGCGAGCCAAGTCACGGTGCTCGTAGACTCGACTTTTGAGCCGACTCAAAAGTCACCCTATCGTTTCCCTCGCCTAGGCCGTCCGCACTGCAAGGCTCACAGCCCCCCTACACGTCACGCGGCGAGCCAAGCCATGGTTCTCGTAGTGTGAGGCGCCTCAAAAGGCTCCGCAAGGCAAGGCCCACAGCCCATGCGTAGCGCGCGACCCAAGTCATGGTCCTCGTAGTAGGTGCGTCAGAACCCGATGTGTACATTTGTCGACTCGTGACTCGCATTCCATAAGGCGAGTAGTGGTTGTCTCGTCTCGTTAACACTTGCTCAATCAGAGAGGAAACGAGGAGTCGTAGTCGTACCTGACTTGAGTGATTTCTCCATTGTACCGCCCGCCTTGCCTTGTAAGGCGAAACCTGAACTAGCCTGATGCAAGAGATGCTCTCTTCACCCCAACCGTGCCTGTATGTATATCTCCCTTCCCCCACCCAACCCCCCCGTTCCCTTCTCCCCCCCGTCCCTGAAGCAGCATAGCATGAAGGGAGAATCAGCATAAGTCCAGCAACTGCATCAATCAAGAAGAATCAAAGCAACCGACATCTGGTGAGGATATTGAAAATTCTCTCAAATCCGTTTTCCACTTCCCTGCTGCAGCCTGCAGGGGCATGCCAGGGGAGGGAACCGCAGCAGCAGCATCCCATTCTCGTTTTAAGCAGCTCCAGGAAGCATCCTTCGCTCGGATCTATCAGTTACAGGAAGCAATGAACGTGACAACCACAGAAGCGATCTGCTGCGGCGTGATTGTATGCAACGTCTTCGTGCTTCTGTTTGCTGCGATTTTCGCCAGCGACGGCAGCGGGCAGGAAAATGTTTTCGACGAGCGGACGTGGGCCAATAGCGACGACCAGGGCAAGCCGCCGTTGAATTCGATCGCTGTTGACACTGCCACTCCGCCTCCTGTAGTGGTGATGAAATCAGGGAAGAAAGACTAGCATGGGGGAGTGGCATGAGCTGGAAAGACATGAGTGGGGGAGAGGCATAAGTTGGAAAGGCAGGAGTGGGGCGGGGACATGAATCGGCAAAGGATTATCTCTGGAGGTCGGCCACGGGTCTGGGGATCAGAGAGGGGGAGGAGGTGATACCATGGAATAAAGGGACAAGCTACCAACAACCGTTGCCTGTCGCTGTTCCGCTGCCTGTCCTTGTGGGAATTTCAGGAAATAAGTTAAGGTGGTAACATTTGTAATGGTAGGTGTGAGCTTAGGTAGTTGGGGATTGACTGGAGGGGAGAGGAGGCAAGTTGGAGGCACTGTAGAAATCTCTAGGCAGTATGTATTAACGGTGTAATTTATCCATGATATACTCTAAGAAAGGTTACGGTATATATGAAGAGAATAAGTTTGGGTTGGGTCCTCCAACAGCACGCCTGATGGAGAAAAATATTTTAGGAGAACTCTTACCATACCATATACGGTATTGGTTGTGCATAGATCGCAACGTTCTGTTCTGATAGAAATTTGATATTGGTCGGTTTCTGGTCACTAACCTGAATAGACAAACATCCAAACAAACCTGCTACAACCACTAACGAACCGTGCCAATTCATAACCAGCACTTACAGCTACGGTACAATATTCCACACATTTTTTTCAGAAGCCCTTCTTTGATTACTGCCAGCACCCCTTTAGATGATCCCAGATCTTGTGTAGTCGTTGCAATCTTTTCCGCAGCCGAGGCCAAATCTTCATAAATCGGTTCCAGTTCCACTTAGTGGACACCAGTTCTGCCTTGTTGTCTTCACTGCATTCACCACCTCTATTGCCTCATTCACCTCTTCCATTAATCACCTCCCCTCCCTGAAAAAAAACTGCTTGTGCTCAAATAGCTTTAGTAATTCAGCTGCAGTAGAAAGAAAAGGGGGCGATACGGGCGAGAAACATGGATGATGGGGACACAGCAGCAGATATAAAGTGATAGAAATGGTATTGTACGAAATGCAACAGAATGAAGATGAGAATGAGTGTTAAGGAAATGCAAGTAATTTAGGGAGGATGATTGGTGATGTTGTGCGTATGCAAGACACACGGATCACCATCCAAAGTCGGGAAAAAGGGGGGGAGGGTGGGGTTGGGGGAGCAAACCATTATTGCTGAATATTATCCAACAACAGGCAGCCAAGGTGATAGAAGAGAAATCGTGAACGAAATGAGAATAGGGAGAGACTTGAAACGCAGTATACTCTTCAATAGAGTACAAATGCAAGAAAGCAATAAAGAGGCAGCAGGGAGAAGGTCGTCGTATGGGAGGCGGAGGGCAACAGCCAATGGAGGTGATGGGAAAAGCTGACAGACGAACCAAAAGAGACGGCCTCAGTGAGTACAGAACGAAAGCGACACATGCTGGAAAGAAAGGTTGTACGAATACAATGACAGCAGGGCTGAAAGTGAGAAAGATAGCAGAGGGACGAGGGACGAAGAGGGACTACTAAGAGCGGGAGTGAGAGGGTTTGAGGGGAAAGTAGCAACAATGGTGGGGAGACAATGGAAGTGATGGGCACAGCGGACAGACGAGCCAGAAGAGATAGATAACCTCAGTGAGTGCAGAACGAAAAAATAAGGTGTACAAATATAATGACAGCAGGGCTAAAAGTGAGAAAGATACAAGGGAATAAGAGGGATTAAGAGCGTGGGTGAGTGGATTAGAGGGGAAAGTAGCAACAATGGTGGGGAGAAGACGTGAGACAATGGTGAGCCAGGATGATGGTAATGAACAAAGGACGATGCGTCAAGCCGCGCACGGAAGGGGAGCAGAAGGGCATGCTTTGCGGAAAAAGCGGAAGGTGAAGCTTGACGGGAGCGAATGTGGCTGTTTCTCGCATGCGTGGCATTGCAAAGTGGCTGTACCCGATGTTGCTGAGATGACAGTGTTGCCTTGGCCTGTCAGGAGAAGCGAAGGCGGCGCTAAGCTGCTGCGATTATTGTCACTGACAGCTAAAGTTGACTAAGGGCGTATTCCTATCCTCCTATCAAGAAAACCTCCTATCAAGCTCTCACTGGAAAATTCCCTAAACCCAAAATCTCTCGCTACTTTTACCAGGCAAAAGGTACAATCTTGATAGGAGGCCGTAGGAATACGCCCTAAGTCATGCGAAGAGCCTGAGAGAGACAATGTCTGCTATGTGCGTACCGGCCTTTCTCAAACTTGTTTCTAGGGTTTCGCAAATTGTTTCTAGGGGCAAACCTTGGATTTGAGCTCCGTAGAGAGCTAGACGCGCCAAACGATTTGAAATGCCGCGCGGTTGTGAATCGTCACTCGAAAAAAATGACATGACACGGAACCATCAGACAAGATGAGGAGGGAAAGGAGGAATTCCAGCCGTACGACTGGTACACACGATGCCCAACCAGTGCACGCGAAATTGCCCCGCCCATGATGGAAACCTTACACCTGTGGGTTTTTTGCACTGACGTTGCACCCTGTTTATAAGCACGTTAAACCACTTGACCCCACCTGGTGAATACGCCCAAAACTGCGTACGTCGATACAAACAACAGCCGCCGACCTGGACTTTCCTCGTTTTGTAGGCCACAAACAGAGTCCACGAAATGTCTGGACGAAACTCCGAAAACGTCGCCAGGGTTAAGGCATGATACGTCATGCCACGTTGGACGTTACCACGTGCGTATAACAGTCTGTGGATTTCTGCAGAATGCCACCTGTACCTTGCCCTTGCTCGATACACGCCCTCTGTGAGCCGTTCAGTCTGGGAGCAGCACACGTCACCCTTTATGGTTGTGGTTACACGGTAGCACAACCTCTAAACATCAAGCCAAATGCACTCACGAGGAGCAGCATTATTGCACTCCTAAGCCGCGCATACTGAGTCGAATTGACATAAATCCTCCCGTCACTCTTCACTAACTCAAATTCACTTCCATACTCAGAGGCACACAATGCCTCGTCTCTATCACCGCTCCCAGCTTGCGCTGCACATCAAAAGGGCCATCTGCGCTCACCATGTTGCTCACCCGCTGCTCCGCCATGTAGATCTCGCGCGTTGGTGTTTCACGCGCTTTGGGGTACGCCCCGACCGATCCACCATCGGTCGAGTGTTGAAGGGCGTCGTACGATGGCGCATCCCGGACGACGCTGTTGACGCTATTCGTGTGCGTGGCGGCGCGTACCCAGACATGGAGCGCGCAATGGCACGTTGGATTGCCAATGCGGGTCCCGCTGGCGTTCCGCTGACATTGGCCACAATTCGCGACCATGTCGCGACCATGGCACGTGCGAATGGTGTGCCAGCGACATTTCGCGTCTCTATTGGATGGGTGCGGCGTGCTTTGCGCCGCCAGGGAGTAAGGTGCATGAGCGCTGTCAGCGAAGCGGCAGACCAGGATATGAACGCCGTCCGCACCGCTCGGGAGAAGCTCCCGCAGCTTCTCATGCAACTCGGCGTACGCCCGCGTGATACGTTCAACTTCGACGAGACCGTGCTTTTCATCTCCGTTCTGCCGCGCAAAACATACGGCACCGGCAGGTCGGCGGGGCGGAAGGCGCCGAAGGAACGACTAACCGTCGTATTCCTGGTGAACGCGGAGGGCTCGCACGCCTTTCGCCCGCTCGTCATCTCCAAGGCGAAACGACCCCACGATTTCCGGCCGGACTACAATCCAGAGGAGCTATGCTACTGGCGCAACACCGCCAAAGGTTGGATGACTTCCTCGGTGAGGAAGTCAGGCGCTGTGTTGCCATTGTTTTTGTACTGCCCCTGCCCCACTACATTACCGGCCATCTAACTCACCCCTCTCACCCTTGACTTTTGGGTCAACCCGTCTGCTTGCTTGGCAGCTATTCACACACTACATCGAACAACTCGACGCTACCATGAACGCAGAGGACCGGCACATTGTTGTACTGCTCGACAACGCAAGCAGCCACAATCTGACTACCGAGGGCGCCGTGACCGAAGATCTCTTCGGGTTCCGTACGCGTGCGCTCAAGAACGTGCGCCTGGTGTTCATGCCTCCTAACACCACCTGCTTCATTCAGCCCCTTGACCAGGGGCTGATTGCCATGGCGAAGGCGCGGTACCGCCAGCATTGGCTCCGCGCATTCACGGGCATGTGGACTGCCGAAGGCGCCACCTCCGCGGCAGCTAGGTTCAAGCCGAACCTCCGACTAGTGCTGGAGTGGCTCCACGACGCGTGGATGAATATCCCGCGTAGCACCATCCAGCGTTGCTGGTGGCGCACCGGTTGTCTCCCGCGCGCCTGGGCGATGGAACTCCCGCACGTGGAGCCAGGAGTTGGCGGGGGCCCCACGGCCGGAGGTGACATCGGCCTGGACGATGATGTCAACGACGTCGGTAGCCTGATTGACCGGCTCGGACTCGGGCCCAGCGCGATGCCCGCTCAGGAGTTTGTCGGCATCGATGCCAACCAGCCGACGTGCGCCGAGCCCGGTGAGGATCCGTTGGCGATCGAGCCGCGATCGGAACCGACGGCGGAGATGTGGGAGGCGCCTGCGTCGACGCAGGTGGTGTACGACGACAGCAACCCTGTGACGCGCGAAGCACGTCGCACCGCGCGGGCCGCGTGCGAAATGCTCATTGGCTACGCACGCGCGACATGCATCACGCCGCGGGACCTGTGCGCACTGTTTGACATTCGTAACCCAATCATCGTCGCGCGGATGGAGCGCGCAAGCCCTGCTCTCAACCTTAACGCGTCTCCGCCACCCGCCATGTCGCACGAGGACATGCCACCGGCAGAGACTCCATGTCGCCGTGGTCGCGTGCTGCCGCCGTGGATAACGGTGCCGACCCCTGACTGGGTGGCCCAGTCTGCTCGCCGGCAGGAGCTCATTGATGCCGGTGCTCCAGCTGTGATGTCAGGCTACTTGGCTGCCGCTGAGTGGATGCGACTGTGAAGCCCCGTCATCACGATTTAGGAGGAATTCACATCTCCTCCTCCTCCCGGCTGTGCGTGCGTCGTGAGAGGGGATTCTGTCCCCCTTAGAGGATTTTGGTTCCTCGCTAATGCATCAGGTGTACGCCTTGTACACATTCGCAACAATAGGACAGTACGAGTGGGTATTTGGGTTGGGTACAGGTGGAGCAGCTTTATTGGATGGAGGGATGAATGTGTTGTTTGTGACTGTGTGGGATGTGAAATGTAATGGGGTGTTAATGTGATGGGTGAAAATTGTGGTAATAGACCTATTGAACGCACACCAAACTAGGCCACCCCACACTGTTTAGAGAAAAGACAAGCGGGTAACAACCCGTGCCTTTTAGGAGCACCTCTGTGCCGTGGCGAAAGCCACGAAGTGCCCGAAATGACATGTGCGCTTATAAGCCCAGAGCACAAGGGGAGGACGGGGGACTATAACGCGCATCAGGTGTACTAACCGCAACACGGATATGGATATGCGCGTTGTAATGGTGAGTCTCAAATTGGTAATGCTTCTGCGAGGACCAATCAGGTTATCTTGCAATGGTCTAGGTTGTGAATCGTGATGCTGGGTATCGAAATGGTCTCGTTGGGTAATCAGACTGCGTTAATCGACGAATTGAGTACTAAGGTAACCAGCATCCAGCATAGCGGTAACTGTATCGCACAGATTTTCGGAAATGCGAATGCTATGTGGAACAGGCGGAGGAGGAGCAACGACATGAAAGGTAGGGTTGAGGTTTTGATTCGCAACGCGGCACAACTCGTCTCGCGAAAATATTCGATGCTTCGCGAACTGCGGAATGGTAACAGCTAGAAGTCAACATGCAACCATGAGTGATTCCAAACACCCCCCTGCTAGATTTTCACATCACAACTCCTTTGTCGCCAATCTCATCTGCACAACCATCCCCACTTTTCGCTGCCACTCATTACTAAATCTGAACGCTACATTTTCTGTTCGCCAACAGCTAGATCCGCGGTAGGAAGCACGGGAGTCACCGTCCACATTCGATAGCCGTTAGTGTCGTCACGTGTCAGTGCATCGAGAGCGACCAGATTTGGTTTACATGTTGTCGCCCTTCCACTCTCGCACAAACGCGCCTCGGCTTTATAACGCGATGCCACCGCGTTCAAACCCAGGAATTCGATGTTCAGCATGGTATATCTCAACGCCCCGACTACATCCGGGTGCAAAAACGACGCGGCTCGGGAAAGGGATCCGCCACCCTGCGTCATCCTGTCCGGCTAACTGAGTGCACGTCCTGGGCGAGGAGCGTCACCCTGCGTCACCCGGCAATCCCGATGAAAAATACCCCGATAGCACCTCTCAACGGACCCTCCGTACGAGGTCGACACGTTGACGACGCCAGTCGCGGCCAGCGTGCCACGACGTCCAGCTAGCCATCGGCGCGGACTGCGACGTGAGGCCCACCGCGATTCCTGGCCGACCACTGCGCTGGCGCGCAGAGCCACACGTCGCCCATCCGAAACACAACATTCCACGCGGCGAACATCGATCGCCGAACGTCTGTCCACGCGGCGATCAAGCCTTCGCCGGCCTGCTGGCGGGAACGTCCCCGCGGGATACCATCGTCGGGCGACGCGATGAGCACTGCTGCGTCACGCCGACGTGTAAGCACGGTTCACCGTGACGGGAACACCGGACTGTCGGCTGCGAAAAAGACATGAGTGCCCCGTGCCACGTCGACCATTGCGCCGCCGTTCTGCCTTGCATGCAGAGTTGGAGACCTGCCCATGGATCGCCCGCCAACACCTGTCCGCCCGAACCGCGACTGTGCCTCTCTATGCTATGACCCCCTGACGGCCAAGTGTCCATGGCATTTCGTCACTTGTTTGTTGCGTTGCATTCATTTCCATTATGGTGAGCCACATTTCCCTTAGTCATTTTCACGCTTCTCGGAGACCGACTGACCACGCGTGGTGCAGGGTCGACGACGAGCCACGCTGGTGTAGAGTGCGTTTAGGTCGGCAAACTTTACGGGCTTCCGACTTAGGATCATTCCGACTAGGACGACTAGCTAGGTCGACAACAACCGAAAGTCGCCGACCTCTTTCTTCAAACCCACAACCAGTATTGTCATCACCGGTGATCCCCAGTACGGCCTCGAATGGCCAGGGACCAGTCTAACAACATCCCGCCGGATAACACCCCGCCGAACGATACATTGCCACTTCACACCCCGCCGACCATTGCGCCGCCGACCACGGCCACTCCAAACATCACCCAGCAGAACACCAATCCGCCGCCCTTACTTCCTGAAATTCCCGAACTGACCGACATTGCCGCGGAGTTGACGATCGCCGAGAACGTTGAGAGGGCCGAAAGACGGGCGGCCTTTAGGGCCACGGTGCGAAGGCAATACACGGCAGCGCCGTGATGTATCGACTTTGGTGGGCTGAGCACGTACCGCCGCGAGACCGCGACGACAACTAGAGGCCAACGGGATCAACTCTACCCGCCGAGATGGCTGGCGTCGCGCCGTCGGCGGGGTTTAGCGAGATTCCCGACCTGAACGAGCCTTTCATGGAGGAAGATGTAGACGCCGCTAGGGCAAATATTCCCGCCAACATGGTGGTCGACGTAGACTCCGCTAGGGCAAAAATTCCCGCCGACCCGACCATCCCCCTACCGCCAGGGACGAAAGGGGCTCCCGAACCCGAGCCAGACCGGTACTCGCCGCGTTCGGACACGGAGCAGCCGCCGCCAATTGGACCATTTCCAGAAAACGACTACATGTATCTGACCGTAGAGGACTTGTTGGCAGCCGACGAGAAAGATGACGCCTTCCTGCAAAACATTCTGCGCGACGATTTTGCGGAAGCCGCCTTCGACATCAACAAAGAGCTCGCCAAGAAGAACAGATTGCTGAGGATGATGTGGGATTTCCGGCATCTGGACACGCTGGAGGCGAGAACGACCCGTATTCAGTACCTTCGGGCGCTGCTCGACTTCAGGAGATGGTGCTGCGCGAACCTTCCAAGACAGCAAACCGCCAGAGTCAAGGGGGACGGCGTGCTGGAACACGAGGACGAGATAGGGAGGTACATCGACGCAGACATGGATGATCAGTGGCACACCGCCAAGGGCGACCTACAATGGATGCACGGTCCCCGCGTCAACGCCACGCGGATCAGGGCGTACATTCTGTCAATCGCGAGGCAGCATGGTATTGCAAAGGCCGAGGAGCTCGAGGAGCTGAATCTCGACGTCCGTGTCCAGCCCCTGAAGCCGACAACCGTTTCGATGCTGCTCATCCACATCAAAGCGCTCCAGACAGCCTGCAAGGTCGAGGGGACGCTCTTCGGGGTGAAGGAGCTCCACATCATGTACGACATCTCCGAGGTCCACTCGGAGGTGCGCGCGATGGTCAGAGAGAAGTGGCACAGGGACGACATGTAAGTCAGCAAGTCGTCCCGCGCGGTTCACGCCTGTTTCCCGGTTCGCCCAGCTAACCCAGTCCTCGTGGAAACTGATGTGCAGGGATTGCGTCGACCGGCACCGCGGAACGCTCGGCGACACGTACACCACCGACCAGATCCGCCACCTCATGTTCAAGGTCTTGCCGACCTGGGCAGCTCGGGCGTACGAACCCAAGGCGGCCAGCCCCTCCCAGACACTGTGGAAGTTTCTGCTGATGAAGACGATGACCCTCTTGGGTCACCACACCCTTCTCCGCGGAGCCAGTCTCCGAGCGATCGAGCTCCCCGACCTGTTTTTGTACAGAATGGGGAACGCGTCGCCCGAGCACTCCACGCGACGGCCGGTTGTCATGGTCGTCGCGTCACGAAACTCCGAGACGAACAAGGATGCTCGTCTGCATCACAGCTACGCGGCGAGACACCTGGAGCAAGAGATGTGGGCCGTCGGTCACACACTGTTGTGGCTGCACTTCGTGTACGACCAGCTGAGCCGCTCGCCCACCTCTCGATGTGTGCCGCCCCTCGACTTCACAACTCCGTACAGCTGGTATCACAAGCACCTCTTTCATGCTCGGAACAAAAAGGCACAAAAAGAGCTGCCGGCTTCATCTCATTCTCGGATCACGAAAGAGATGTGGCGGACGAACAAGATCTTCATCACGCGCAACACCCACGCCGCCCGGGCAGGTGGGGCACAGGAGCTGGCCGACGACGGTGTTCCGCGATCTGACATCGCCGACTTGGGCCACTGGGCGCTCGACAAGCTCGCGAAGAGCTACATCACGACCATCCCGAAGGCGGCGGTGTTGAGAAAGGCCGGCTACACGGGCAAGCGCGGCGACTACCACCTCGGCCGGAGCATGGTGAAGCCCGACGACAAGGTGGTGGCCCTCATCGCCCAGCACATCTTTCCGTGGGCGGAAGCGGAACTGGCCAAGGTGAGCATTTCGGACGGCAAAAACGCCGACAACCCGCCGAACATTTCCACGACGACATTCTACCGACGGCTGATTGTGTTTGTGTTTGTGTTCGACTCGCAGGCGGTAAGGTGCACATCTGCGAGAGAGCTCAACATGGCCGGGGTGCACTTCCTGCAATCGCTCATCGAGTTCGGCCGCCGAATCGTCGCCGAGGATCTTGCGTGCATGCTGATGCGCGAACCGTGGCACCCGTGCGTCCAGAGTTCCAAGCTCTGCCGCGACCCCGACTTCCAGAAATGGGCCAAGGACGTCAACCGGGTGGACCTCGAAACCATCGCGACGCGCAGTACTCCGAGCGAGAACCCCCAAGAGGTACGGCGTGCGCGTTCCGGCGACCTGTAAAACAAGTCGTCCTGCCACATTGGCTCACCTTTTGCCGACCATCCCCCTTGGATCGCAGGAATTCAGCGTGCGAGTCGACACCGAGTATCAGGTCGACCAGCTCACCATGATGTTGCACCGCCAGAGGGAGGATGCCGCAATCGAGAAGCTTGAGATGCAGAAGAAGTTGGAGGAGAAGGATGCAGAGATCGCGAAGTTGATGCAGCTCTCAAGCTGGCCGAGGCACGGCCGACGCCGATTGCGCCGGCACCGTCAAGGCCGATGACCACCGCCGAGAAGGCAGCGTCCGTCAAGATCGAGAAGGAACAAGACGATGATCTGACGTACAAGGTCAACGTCGTGCATCCCTGGCGCACATCCAAGACGGTCGAGGCTGCATGGCGCTGGTGGAACAACCCGTCCAACTTCGACTCGCGTCCGTTGCGCGAACGTTACGATGAGCACAGATTCCTCGTCAAACACAGGTCGAAAAGGGCGACAAACCCGCCGCGTCGGCGAAGTCGGCGAAGAGCTCTCGTCCCACGACCGAGGTGGGTGATACGGGGAAAAACGATGCGCTGCAGCACTGCACTCGCCGGATGAGGCGGATCATGGAAGCGGTGCACGACTTGCGGCGGAGCGACGACGCCGCTGACACCGCCACCGTCATCAAGCTACTCGACCACCTGGGGCGAGCGGGGCTTTCCACTTTCAGCGACGCGCTCTTGGTCCTCCGTGCAACCCCGCCCATCAAGGTCCCCACCACAGCCGACGGAAAGTCGATCGACATCAAGGGTCTGGACAAGCCGCTGGCGAGGAAGCTCGCCGTTGCGTGGGGCGTGGTCACGGCGGGCTACATGGACGCTGACTGGGGAAAGAGGCTCTTCGACGACTTGTGGGATGAGCATGCCAATAAGGCCGGCTTGGAGGCCGAGGCGACGGCGGGAGCCATCGGCGCAGGGAAGCGCAAGAGGGCGGGCCGAGGGTACTGCGTCTGGGTCCGACTTGTGCTGCTGGCTGGGCGTGGTGTGACTGAGGGTGGGTTGAGGGCGGGCCGAGGGCGGGCTGAGGGCGGGCTGAGAGTGGGCTGGGGGTGTGCTGAGCGTGTCCGACCTGTTCTAGTGATCCTATATGGTTTTCTTTTACTGCCAACGTTGTTTCGACTTGTAAATTAGTAGAAGTTTCTCTGTTGTTCATGCATCAAACCGACTCCACACCACAAAACCTACTTCACAACGTTTCAGAAAAACTACCGACGAAGAAGTTCAGCATCCCTAAGCCGGAGAGGCACAACAAAACAACAAAACAGCACCCGAAACCGGACACGTCGACCATGTCACAAGCGGTCGGGCCAGCGTTTGTAGGTCTTCGTCAGAAAGCCTGCAGCGTTTGCACCCACGCCGACCATGCTACGAGCAGGCGGGCCAGCCTTCGTCGACCTAGGCGTCAGCGACCTGCTTCCCTTTGTGCTGCTGCCCCCTCGCCCCCCTATCCCGAATGATACTCTTCATCTGGGGGTTGATAGTCAAATCGACGCCGCGAGCCTTGAGCTTCGGGCCTCCGACATTGTAGTCCCCCCAGAAGGCGAGGTTCTCTATCATGACACGGGCGATCAGCTCGTCGTGCTCGCGCTCCTCTCTGACCTCAGGCAGCGACCTCACCACAGCCGCCTGCAGGTCCTTCGTCACTGTTTCGGCGACCTCCTCTATGACGACCACCCGGGAGGCCGCCCGCTGAAGCACCGCCTCGATGACGGTCCGACACCGACTCGCGAACTCGTTGGACGCTCCGCGCACGGTCGCTGCCGCCCCCCCTTCGCCGGCCACTACTTTCGCCATGACATTGGTCTCTGAAAAACACCACACTGCGGCCGCAGTACCGGCGAGGATCTCGGACAACCGCTCCGACCCGACGCCCGGAATGGGCGTCACTTTCGCGGCCACCGGTGCGAAGGCGGCACACATCAAAATGCGTGCGATCATGTCGCTCGCCACCTTGTTCTTCGCGGCCTTCTCGAGCTCGGTCGACTTCGGAAGGTCGCCGAACCACACCGCCGGGCGAAGAGCCAACATGAGAGCTGCGCGGTCGGCTCCGGTTATCCTGTTGTATTCCGTGAACACCTGTTGGAACCTGCGAAACACAGCAGGAATACCCACCGTCACCGACCGACCCACGCGAACCGACCGAAACGAGCACCAAATTGAGCATTCGCCAAGCTTACCTGTCGCGGAAGACGTTCGCCCCTCGGCTCCACATGACCATCCACATGCCCCCCGGAATCAATCGCGCCACATTTCCGTCCTTTTTTTTTTCTGCGCCATCACTTCCTCCTTGACCCCACCGAACTCGTCGAGAACCACGTCGCTGACGAAGCCGTCGAACGACGAAACGGCGACAGCGATGCAGTAGGCGGCCTCGGACTTGTCCATCGACCGGCAGATGTAACGACTCTTCTTCCCAAACTTCATCTCCGAGACGGCCAGCCCATTTGAAGGGTCAACGCGGACGCCTGAACCCTTCCGACCCTGCGCGGCCGCTTTGGACGTCCCCTTGGAAGAGCCGACCTTCGCCGGGCCGCCCTTCGCCTTGTCCTTGCCCTTGCGCTTCTACTTCCCATCGCCGACCTCACCGGTTGTGGCCAGGGGGGATTTGGCGCCAGCCGCGCTATGGTCCTCCGCAGGAGCAGTCGAGGCGGCTGGTGCACCCTGTTGCGCTCCCACGGTGGGAGCTGCTGCTTGTAGTTTTTCCAGCATGACCTCGATTTCCGGGTCCGGCATCACGATGCTGGCGAGGATCTCTTCGTCCACCCCGGCGGCCTCTTCTGCCACTCTCCACACAGCCGCCTCCACCGTTGAGCCACTCGGCCCTGCAGTCGCCGCCGCGACGTTCGCTGCCTCTGCTCCTTGGTCGACCGCCTGGTTGTTGTGAGTCGGAAGAATTACCGGGGTTTTCTGACCCTGATCCTCGAGCCATTTCAGATACTCGTCGAACGATGGCTTTTGAGTGACTAGAGCCTCGACCGCCTGAGACTCAACAGCCGTTGGGATCGGGATCGGTTCCGCGGCGACCATGGCCCCATGAACGGGTAAGCTGGCCGCACTGGCAGCCTGCTGGACATGCTGTCCGACCACCGCTGCTGGGCGCAAGAGCTCGTCGACCAGCGCCGTGACACCACCCGGTCGCGCGTCACGTGCAGTGGCAGGACTCGTCGCGGTGTGGGGATGCTGGCCCGCCGCGGCCTGCTGAACATGCTGTCCGACCACGGATGCTGGGCGCAAGAGCTCGTCGACCAGCGCCGTGGCGCCAGCCAGACGCGCGTCCTGTGCAGTCGCCGGACTCGTCGCGGTGGGGGGATGCTGGCCCGTACCTGGCGGCCCGCCCTGCTGTCCGACCACCGCTGCTGGGCGCAAGAGCTCGTCGACCAGCGCCGTGACGCCAGCCAGACGCGCGTCTTGTGCGGTCGGCGTGCTCGTCGACGGGTGAAGATGCTAGCCCACACCGGGCGGCCCGCCCTGCTGTCCGACCACCGCTGCGGGGCGGAGGAGGTCGTCGGGCAGCTGCGCTGTGACGCCGGTCGGTCGCGCAGTCGGCGTACTCGTCGAGGGTTGAACATGCTGGACCGCAACGGGCTCCCCGCGCGCCTGGCCGACCACCGCTGCGACGTGCATGTCGTCTGCCATCTGGGCCGTGCCGCCGCTCGGTCGAGCGCCTTGTGCAGTCGCTGGACTGGCCTCGGGGTGTGGATGCTGGTCCGCCGTTGGCTGCCAGCCCTACTTCGCGACCACGGATGCCTCTCCCATGAGCTCGTCGGCCAGACTCACCTGGTCGCAGCTCGGTGGCGCGTCGTGTGCGCTCGGCGGATCGGTCGGGGCCTGTGGCTGCTTGTCCCCCACGGGCTGTCCACCGGTCTTCCCGACCACCGACTTAGGATCCTGGAGCGCGACGTCGACCTGTCAAAAATCTTCGCTCGGTCGCGCGCCAAGTCCATCTTTCAGCAAGTCGTGGACGCCGGGGATACGAACATACGGAAGGGCATGAGGATCCACGCCCACACCGCGTTTCACCGCAGGTCCTCTGCTTTGCTTAGCGCCGCTGGTCTGGTCGCCGGTCAGGGATTTTTCGTCGGCGACCCTTTTCCCCGACTGCCTTGGGGCCGGCCCACTCTCCTCGGCGGTTGCGCGGCCGCCGTTCATCACCGACGCGAGAGCAGTTGGGAGGAGGCTAAACCCGGCGGTGCCAATGCCCTGTTGGGTCGCGGAGGTGACCGCCTTCACCAGGTCGTCCCTAAGCTCTTGGACGACCTTCGCAGTCACAGCAGCGGCGATCCGCTGCGCCTCGCCCTCCATGGCGGCCTTCACCTCGGCAGACATGACTGTTTTGATCTTCTGGCCAAGAGCATCTGCCACACCTCGAAGCAGCAGAAGGTCGTCCTCCCGTCGCCTACCCTGTGCAGCAGTAGCCGTCAAGTGCAGGGCCTGCACGGTGGGCAGCCACTGCGTGTTCATGAATTCTAGGGTGGAGACGCAATAGCTCACCGCCTCCTACACGACCGCCCTCATAGCGTCCACCGCCGTTTGGATGCTCCTCCCCGACGTCTGCTCGAGATGGGTCACGCCCTCAGCGACTGTAGTGAGCTTGTTCACGGCCGAGGTGACAACGCTGTACATCGTGTCATTCCGGGCCGTCTGGAACTCCAGCCTCTTTTCCGCCACCAGCTTCTCCTCCCTCAGCTTCTTGATCTCCCTCTCTGCCGCCTTCAGACGCTCGATAGCCGCCTTTGACGCCATCCTAGTCGGGGTCGAGCCACTGCTGCCCCGGGCCTTCTTGCCCAACTTGGGTCCGCTGCCGCCGCTCTTATCCGCAACCTTATCACCGGCGAACTGTACTGCCTCCTCTTCGCCGGTGACAACCACGTCGTCCTCCTCACGCTCCACGTCCTCCTCCTCTTCTTCCGAGCCACCGTCGTGCTCCCCGCCCCCCTCGACGTCCTCCCTCTCGTGCTCCTCCTCCCCACCCAGAGCGATGCCGGTTCCGACGCCACGGCCCACGGTCGACGCCGCCTCCCCTTTGTTCGACGCGGCCTTCTCCGCATGGTGCAGCAGCTCCAGTCGGAGCGCCTTCGAGCCGACCATCTTCGGGTTCTCGACGGTGAGCGGATCGTAGATGCGATGCACGTCGTCCAGATGCTCCAACGACCACGCGAACGCGTTGACCGCCAAGAGCCCCGTGCCGGCGACCTCCTCCTTGAGGATGTCGGGCAATTTCTGCATCAACATCCGAAGCATATGGCACCGACGAAAAGGGTGAGTCGACGCCTCGACGACGATAGCCCAGGCGACAAGGCGACATGGACGTTGGAAACTCACATCACGGATGGGGGCGGCAAGACTCTCCAGACGTTCGGAGAGGACTTTGGCGGAAGGAGGCGCAGCCGTCCACTGCCTTCCCCCACGGTTTAACTCCGCCTTCACGCATTCGCCGAAAAAACTGCGCTACAAGACGGAAAAGGGCCATCAGACAAGGCGGCATGAACGCCGTTAAGGAGCGGCGCGACTAGCCGTCGACGTTGTCCCACCTCAAAACGTTGGCCGCCTCCTCCTCGTGCCGCTTGGAGGAGGTCTTGGGGTCGAGGTGGCGGTAGAAGGTCCCGATCTCCTCCTCGTCGGGCAAAAGCAGGTCGCCAAGGCGCACAAAAAGCAGGACGCTGCAATGCCTGCCGGGAAGAGGTCCGCCCCTGCCCACACAAGCACGACGGAGACATTCAGGGATCTGTCCGGGAACAACAAGCAACGCGGTCGGCGTGGATCAAAACTCACGGGCGCGGAACACTCACCCGGTGCACAGGGGATGGCGAGGGCTTCGAAGCCAAAGGCCGACCCGAAAACCAGATAGTCCTGCTTCGACGCCAACCTGGCGGCGCGAAGACTCGCACCACGGATCAGGATCATACTGTCGCGTTTTCCCAAACGATCGAGCTCGTACCTGGGACAAGTGGGGGCAAAAAAGCGGGAGCGAAACACTTGCGCGGTGAGCTACAATCCATGCCGAGCGCCGGGGTAAAGCGCGGACAACAAGACAAGCGGACTCGGACGAAGGTTTCGCACGACGGCGATGTCGCCGGAAGCATGATGGACGTCACCGACGTAGGGCCAATGGTCGAGGACAGGCAAACTAGTTAATAAGACGACGCAGCGCCAAAACGTCCATCGCGGACGGACATCGTCGACCACGCGGGAAAACGACAAGGCCAACGTCGACCTCGAAAGGACGCCGACGAAAACGCGTAGAACCCTAAACAACTAACAACGCGACCTAGGGATGCGCGCTCACGCGAGGCCGAGGTCAAAGCAAGGTTCTGTGAACTCGGCCTTCTCGTCGCGAAGGACTTTGTAGTCCTTCATCTCAAGCGTCACCATGTACCCATCGATGCCCACTGGCACCTGGAGGGGGAATTCAGTCGCAGGCAGTGCTATCCTACTGGTCGCCATGCTAACACCACGGTCGGTATCACGGAAGGTTTGGGGAGGAGCGCGGAGAGCTGACAGGGAGGCAGAGGAAATCGGAAAGCGAAGTTGGAAAGGAGAAATGACGGATGGAGTGGGACCCCCCATCAAGAAATGGGCGTGGGCCGTCGGTCGCCTAGTATGCAGCTCGGCGGACGAGGCAGGTCGTGGCCGAGGGCGAGCCTCCGGCTTTGGCCCGTACCGGGCACGCCCTCGAGGGCGGGGTTCGGAGGGGCGGAGGTGGGTGGTTTGTGTGGGCCGTGCGTGGGGGTGGTCGGGGTGGCAAGGGCGAGCCACGTTTCCCCTCCCGAGGGGCCAGCGATGTTGACGAGGGTGGGGTCGGGCCCTTTGAATTTCGCAACCAACCCGCCTGCCCGGCGAGGGCAGCCCGAGAGGGTTACTAGGGCCTCGCGGGCAACGCGAAGCAAATGTCCGCCTCCGTGAAGGGGTAACTAGGCCCCTCGTCGCTCGCGCGCGAGTTCGCCACCCCTCGGCTGCAACGTGGGGTTCTGTAGGAATTCGGGGTGGGGGGGCCGGGGCGGGGGGCGTGGGCAAAGCCCCACCCCGCGCCAGCCTGGCGGGGGACTCACGCGAGGGAGTTGGCCGCCCTGACGCTCGGTCGACCGTCACCCCCCTGCGTCGTCCCAGGCAAAACGGGTGCGTCACCCCGAATTCCGTTGAGCGATTCATTTCAGTTCGCAGTGCGAAATTCGGCATGCAAGTGAAGAAATGCGAAGGCATTGCGACGGGATGTGACCTAGAATAGGATCTTTGACAAGAGGGAGTCGATTCGATGGGGCCCAAATGCACCTCAAAGCCTCGAAACGCATTCGCGATTGACCCCATGCATGTTTTGCCCACGTGGCTGCGGAATGCGACGCAGTGCGCTGATCGTCGCATACGAGATGATTGGCTAAGGACAGCGACTCCTCACGGCGGAAATGGGCTAAGGACATGTGAGAGGCACATGGTGAGGTGAACAGACGGATAGGAGTGAGAGGCAAACACAGCTGGCATGCATGTGGGTGGCGTGATGCCTCCCTCATACCCTTCGTAGATCCGCTTCGTAGTTTATCCTCTTGCCTCCTTTTGACTCGACTCAAAAGCGGATTGGAGTGGGAGGCAAGCACAGCTGGCATGCACGTGGGTGACGTGATGCCTCCCTCATACCCTTCGTAGTTCATCCTCTTGCCTCCTGCCTGCTCTCACCCTTTTGGGTCAAGCCCCCACCTCTTTCCTCCACTTCCAAGTTCTTTGTGTCCATTCTGCCTGACTCCAAATTCCGATTAATCTCTCGAATTACCTCATCATGTGGCGTCACTCCTTTCTTTGTTCCAACAGGCAGCTCTCTGCTGCGATCTAGCATTCCTGCTACCTCCACACACACCAGGTAGGCACTGCGGCACCTCTTCCCTTAGGATTCGAATCCTGCCCTTTCTGTCGATCGAACGCATTCAAGTCTCACTGCCCATGAGTCTTGCTCCTCGTAGTCAGCCTTGTCTTAGTCCAGAATTCCAACTATACCCCTTTTCAGCTTTATTAGCAATAACAATCTGCCTGTCTTCTTTTCCCTCTCGCGCCTCGACTTTCCAATCTGCTTGTGTTCAACGTGCTGATGTTATTCCTGGAACCAATTTTTCTTTGTATTCTTTGTGATTTCCTCCACCCTTGGTCTGCCCGGCACTTTCATTACAACATATACTTCCTGAAAAAATAGGTTAAAATATAGGGATGGCTCTTCACTCGTGTTGCGCCATGCATTCACATCGTCTGTATACCAAGGGATGATTTCTATCCATCATGATACAATACAGGAATTTTCCTGGCTATGGAAACGACACGGCTGCGTCTGTAGACTCTGCATGTCACTGAATTTGACCTGGCTATCATTGACCTGGCTATCATTGAAATGGTGTTTCTGCAGCTACTTCTACTCACTTTCCCTGCTCCTGCTGACCCTTCTGCTCCTACTGCTGCTCCTCCTGCTCCTACTCACAGGTTCTCTCGAGGCCGAGCGGGCGGAGGGGTGGTACCAGTGAGTTTCAATGGCAGCAGCAGCATCATCCGAACTTTTTCTCTCCCCTTGTCAACCCACCCTCTCCTGCCTGCAAGTTTTCTGGATCAGAAGGGGACCGAGGGGCGGTACAAATCAGCTTCACGAGCAGCAACAGCATCATCTGGGCTGTCTCCCTCCCCTTCCTCACAACCTCACTCCTCCTCACCCCCCTCCCTTCCTCACGCTCCTGTCTGCAGGTTTTCTTGATCAGAAGTAGATGGAGGGGCGGTACCGGTGAGTTTCACTGGCAGCAGCAGCAGCAGCATCTGCGCTTTCTCTGAGTCTGGGTCCACTGAGCTGGCCTTCCATGGCAACAACGCGTGAGTACCACCCGAGGTTCGCCGAATGTGGACAGAGGGGCGGTACCAGTTAGTTTCAGTGCCAACAGCAGCATCATCTGGGCTTTCTCTGAGTCTGGGTCAACTGAGCTGGCCTTCCATGGGAACAAAACATGAGTGAATGAGGGATTGAGCGAGGGAGTGGGTGAGGGAGTGAGTGAGAAAAGGGGGGAAATACTGGTAACTTTCAGCAGCACGAACAGCCTCATCTGGGCCTTCTTCGAGTCTGGATCCACTGAGCTGGCCTTTCACGGCAACATAGCGTGAGTACCAGCAGCAACAATTACGTGAGTGTGGGGAGTTTGTAAGATTTCCTTCCCCTTTCCTCTCTGGGCTCCTTTCCTGCACAAATTAAGAGTTCCATGAGCGCTCGTAGAAATTTTTCAAAATGGAATGCGTACCAAAGAAAAACGTGTCAGGATGGCCGAGTTGGTCTAAGGCGCTAGTTTCAGGTACTAGTCCGAAAGGGCGTGGGTTCAAATCCCACTCCTAACATGGATGCCCACAACTTTTTGTATTCTCCTGGGAGCTTTTTGTCAGAAGTCCACTGGTGATCCCCGATTGATCCTAGGGAAGGGTTACAGGCACGTTGGCCTGGGGGGTTATGGGCGCACTGACCCGCTACTTAACAAGCCCTTTTATCCCAATGGTCTAGTGGTTGGGATTCTAATATGGTATTAGAGCGAAGGTCTCGGGTTCGAATCCCGGTGTATGCACTTCGGGCATCCCAGTGCGGGGGGGTGTCAGAAGTCCACTGGTGATCCCCGATTGATCCTAGGGAAGGGTTACAGGCACGTTGGCCTGGGGGGTTATGGGCGCACTGACCCGCTACTTAACAAGCCCTTTTATCCCAATGGTCTAGTGGTTGGGATTCTAATACTTTTTTCCCTACACCCGTGCAGATTTTGCCCTCCACCCCTGCAGATTTTCCCTCCACCCCTGCAGCTCCGCCTTCCACCACTGCAGCTCCGCCCTCCACCACTGCATCTTTGCCCTCCACCACTGCAGCTCTGCCCTCCACCACTGCAGCTCCGCCCTCCACCACTGCAGCTTTGCCCCACTGCTGATCTTCTTTATTGCTGAACATCCGTCTACTGTTGCTGAACATCCGTCTACCGCTGCTGAACATCTGTCCACCGTTGCTGAACATCCGTCTACCGTTGCTGAACATCCGTCTACCGTTGCTGAACATCCGTCTACCGTTGCTGAACATCCGTCTACCGTTGCTGAACATCCGTCTACCGTTGCTGAACATCCGTCTACCGTTGCTGAACATCCGTCTACCGTTGCTGAACATCCGTCTACCGTCTCCCATTCCCATCCTCTCTCATCCACTCCCTTCACCACTCGTCCTCTCCATCACCATACTGCAGCCACGTGGAATCTTCCATCTGCTCCACAGCCCCAAGTGAGCATGCCCCAACTCTGCCCCAACTCACATCGGGTTTCACTACTTCTCTGCACTACTTCTCTCCATCAGTAAACCCTAAACCATGTGTAACTTTTTACTGGTTTCTCCCTCTCAACTTGATCCCACCCGACTGTTATGTGAACCTAACTGCCCATTCAGGTGTCAACTCGTGGAGGTGGCGAAGCCCTATTGGAGGATACCTTGGGGAATTCGGTGAAACCCACCTATCGCAGAGCAGACAAGTTGCTCTGGTAAGTGCAATGGTGATGAGTGATAAGGGGGTTGAGGGAACACTTAGGTGGTGCATTGGTGCAGCAAGTTTGAGAGGAGAGGAGTGAAGAGGGATGGCGAGTGGAGAGGAGCGCACAAGTTAAAGCAGCGCATGGTGCGGAGGCAACCTATATGGCAACGAAACTTAAGATGCTGAGGATGTCATATAATTACGGGAAGAATTAGCGAAGTATGTGATACAAGCATGTCGAGTTGGCCGAGCAGGACCCATCTGCTAGAGCGTGGCTCAAGGCTGTCCTATCTGCTCCCCGTTCTCAGCTGGAACTAGCTGACTGGCTTATAGCGACAGAGTTGCGCCTAGGCCTCCCTATCCCTCACCTCCGTCTCCTCGAAACAGCCCCACCATGCTCATGCAGCCACACTTACACCGATCCTACACTCCCTTCTCATGCTCTATGCTGCCCTGACCTCCACGAGCCCACTCACGTGCACGATGCAGTAAAACACGAAGTAGCAAGGATAGCTAGGGAGCTGGGATACACAGTGCGAGTAGAGGATCACACGTTGCTGCCGGATGCCATTCCTGACGTTACTTGCATTGATCCTTGCGCGGGAATCAAATGGGCATTAGATGTTTCCGTAGCCGACCCGCAGCTGCCATCCGCTCCACCAACAGTTGCACACACAGTTGGGCTAGCTGCAAAACAGCGAGAGACAGAAAAACGGTCCCACTACGCTTCAGCACTGCGCGCCCGGCCTGCAGTCAAGCTTATCCCCCTCGTGCTTGAGACGTTCGGAGGCCTGGGCAACAACTTCAAGAAATTCCTACGCGACTGTAGTCATCGGGCAGTAGCACGGCATG